CACATGGTACAAGGCTAGTCACAACAGCCTTGTACCATGTGACAAGCTGTGACCAATCAGAGCTCACATAGTAGTTCTCAATGGCTGCAAGAATGCCGGAGAGAAAGAGAAATGATTGCTTTTACAGCCTTTATGGGTGTAAAAGCAATCAGTGTAAAAAAAAAAAAAAAAAAATGGTGACACTGTATTGCTAGGGTGACAGTATGTAAAAAAAACAAAATAAAATGTAAAAAAAAAACCAAAAATGTTTAAAAATATAATTTTTGGTTCTAAACTAAATTGGGTTATTTTTTTTTTACTAAAAAGATGAATGGAATAAATGTTGGCCAAGATTTATAATGAAATATTTTTTATTTGCAAAAAACACTTTTTTTTTAACTTTTTCATTTACATAGCAAAAAAAATAAAAATCCCAGTGGTGAATAAATACCACCAAAATAAAGCTTTATCTGTCTCAAAAAAATACTAAAAAATTCATATGGGTACTGTGTTGCATGACCGCGCAATTGTCATTCAAAGTGTGATAGCCCTGAAAGCTGAAAATTAGCCTGGACAGGAAGGGGGTAAAAGTGTCCGGACTTGAAGTGGTTAAACATTTTCTTTATTTTTACCAAAAATCTTCTGCTGACTTATGTGTCTAGGTTATAGAGAGTATACCCAGTGTTTTTCCAAGAGCAGAGCAGAGGGAAACATACTGGATCTATACCCCTTGACACCATGGCCCCTGGTGGAATGAATGAAGACTTAGAAGTCCATTCCATCATGTAACCTCTAGACTTCTATTTCTCTCCAATATCGTTATAGACTCTTGGTCAGTTTCCATTTTTTACACATTTATTTAATGTATAACTGCATTCATTTTTGTTATATATGGATATGGTAGTCTTCTAGGACTATATAATCTCTATATGGGATTTATTCTTTATTCTTTCTTCTGTTGAAAACATGGATAAAAATACTGCTTAAATATCAAATATTTCTTGCCTCCCTCTCTCTTATATGTCAAAAATACCTTTTTAAATATCATTACAAATACTCATTTTCATAAATGTGTTGTCCATATATATACAGTGGGGATCGAAAGTTTGGGCACCCCAGCTAAAAAATTGTATTAATGTGCATAAAGAAGCCAAGGAAAGATGGAAAAATCTCCAAAAGGCATCAAATTACAGATTAGACATTCTTATAATATGTCAACAAAAGTTAGATTTTATTTCCATCATTTACACTTTCAAGATAACAGAAAACAAAAAAATGGCATCTGCAAAAGTTTGGGCACCCTGCAGAGTTAATATCTTGTACTGCCCCCTTTGGCAAGTATCACAGCTTGCAAACGCTTTTTGTAGCCAGCCAAGAGTCTTTCAATTCTTGTTTGAGGTATCTTTGCCCATTCTTCCTTACAAAAGTCTTCCAGTTCTTTGAGATTTCTGGGCTGCCTGTCACGCACTGCTCTTTTAAGGTCTATCCATAGATTTTCAATTATGTTGAGGTCAGGAGATTGTGAAGGCCATGGCAAAACCTTCAGTTTACGCCTCTTGATGTAATCCCCCGTGGATTTTGAGGTGTGTTTAGGATCATTATACATTTGTAGAAGCCATCCTCTCTTTAACTTCAGCTTTTTCACAGATGGCATCAAGTTACCATCCAAAATTTGCTGAAATTTTATTGAATCCATCTTTCCTTCTACTCGTGAGATGTTCCCTGTGCCACTGGCTGCAACACAACCCCAAAGCATGATTGATCCAACCTCATGCTTAACAGTTGGACAGAGGTTCTTTTCATTAAATTCTGTGCCCCTTCTTCTCTAAACGTACCTTTGCTCATTCCGGCCAAAAAGTTCAATTTTAACCTCATCAGTCCACAGAACTTGTTTCCAAAATGCATCAGGCTTGTCTATATGTTCATTTGCAAAGTTCAAACCATGATTTTTGTGGTGAGGACGTAGAAAAGGTTTTCTTCTGATGACTCTTCCATGAAGACCATATTTGTACAAGTATCTCTTTATAGTGGAATAGTGTACCACAACTTCAGTGTCTGCCAGATCTTTCTGGAAGGATCGTGCAGTCAAACGTGGGTTTTGAATTGTTTTTCTCACAATCCTGCGAGCTGTTCTGTCTGATATTTTTCTTGGTCTTCCAGATCTTGCTTTAACTACTGTTCCTGATGACTGCCATTTCTTAATTACATTCCGAACAGAGGATATTGACATCTGAAAACGCTTTGATATCTTCTTATAGCCTTCTCCAGCTTTGTGAGCGTCAACTATTTTCAGTTTCAGTTTTCTAGACAACTGCTTAGAAGAACCCATGGTGCTGATTGTTGGGGCAAGGTCAGATGAGTCTGGGCATTTAAAACCTTTGAGATTGACATCACCTGGTCTTCCCAGACGATGATTGAGAACAATCCATGACACTGGCAGGTCTCAGCTTGGCAAAGGGGGCAGTGCATGCTATAAATTCTGCAGGGTGCCCAAACTTTTGCAGAGGCCATTTTTTTGTTTTCTGTTATTTTGAAAGTGTAAATGATGGAAATAAAATCTAACTTTTGTTGACATATGATAAGAATGTCTAATCTGTAATTTGATGCCTTTTGGAGATTTTTCCATCTTTCCTTGGCTTCTTTATGCACATTAATACAAATTTTTAGCTGGGGTGCCCAAACTTTTGATCCCCACTGTACATATATATATATATATATATATATATATATATATATATATGCATATATCATCCAGCTTTGCTGTATGTATAGATATATTCTTTTAGATACAGTATATTTTTTTCAGTTTGTGATGTATCATTGCACTTCTGTCCGCTGAGCTCTTTAGTCCGCTCTCAAGCGGTATATAGAGGAGCCCATAACAAACATGGCCGCATCACGGCCTGAGGAAGGAGCACACATGTTCCAAATGCACGCCTGCTGGGTAGCCTCATCTCCAGTTCTGGTGATGTGAACGTGGTGAGCGATGGATCTCTCGTTCTGCCTGAATCCCTGGAAGCCAATGTAACGGGTCCTGGAGTCACCATCTGCAGCAGTCCAGAACCTACACCCCCTAATTAGATGGCTGTTATGTGGCATCATATCTTGTAAGTTGCTCTATGTTGTTTTAATTAAACCAATTTTATATACATACTTCACTCAGATAGTGCCGCTGTTTTTTTTTTCCACTACTTGTATCCACTAAACAGGAGCTTCTACTCTGAAGGCTGGCTGCATCACTCAATGTTTTTTCCTACAGACTTATTAGGACTATGGACATTTTTCCTTCTCTTGCCCATCTAGTTTTTAACACTTCTTAAAAGACATTGATTGTTCTTACATGAGTGTGTCCCTATGTATATACTTTCCCAGCGCCACTCATCTGTTTTTTGTTTTGTTTGGTACCACGATAGGTTGCCACCTGTGCAATTTTCCTGCTACTAAATATTCCACGGTCAACTGTTACTGGTGTTGTAAAAAAGTGGGAGAAACTGGGAACAGCAGCAACTCAGCCACAAAGTGGTAGGCCATGTAAGTCCATGCTGAAGCACACAGCACACAAAAGTCACCAACTGTCTGCAGAGTCAAAAGCCAACGACCTCCAAACTTTGTGTGGTCTTCAGATAGCACAACAGTGCATAGAGAGCTTCATGGAATGGGTTTCCATGGCCGAGCAGCTGCATCCAAGCCTTACATCACCAAGTGCAATGCAAAGCGTTGGATGCAGTGATGTCAAGCACGATGCCACTGGACTCCACTGCTCTGGAGTGACAAATCACACTTCTCAGGCAATCCGATGGATGTGTCTGGGTTTGGCAGTTGCCTGACTGCATTGTGCCAAGTGTAAAGTTTGGTGGAGGGGGCATTATGGTGTGGGGTTGTTTTTCAGGGGTTGGGCTAGTTCCAGAAAAGGGAACTCTTAAGGAATCAGCATACCAAGACATTTTGAACAATTTCATGTTCCCAACTTTGTGGGAACAGTTTGGGGATGGCCCCTTCCTGTTCCATTATGACTGTGCACCAGTGCACAAAGCAAGGTCTAAAAAGACATGGATGAGCGAGTTTGAGGTGGAGGAAATTGACTGTCATGACAACAACTCGACAGAACACCTTTGGGATGAATTAGAGAAGAGAGTGCTAGCCAAGCCTTCTCATGCAGTGCCTGACCTCACAAATGCACTTCCGGAAGAATGGTCAAAAATTCCCATAGACACACTCCTAAACCTTGTGGACAGCCTTCTCAGAAAAGTTGAGGCTGTTATAGCTGCAAAGAGTGGGCCAACTCAATATTTAAAGCTACGGACTAAGACTGGGATGCATTAAAGTTCATGTGCGTGTAAAGGCAGGCATCCCAATACTTTTGGCAATATAGTGTCCTCTATATTCCTATGAGAGTCAAAATGGATATCAGACATAAAATGTCATGTTTCTGTGATGTAAAAAATATGAGACCAAGATAAATCATTTCAGAAGTTTGTCCACCTTTAATGTGACCTATAAACTGTACAACTTAGTTGCACAACAAACTGAAATATTTTAAGTGGAGGGAAGTAAAAATAAAAAGCTAACATAATATGGTTGCATAAGTGTGCACCCCCTTAACCACCTCCCGCCCGCCATATAGTCCAATGACGGGCGCAAGGTGGTTCTCTCGTTCTGATAGGACATCATATGACGTCTTGTCATTCTCACCGCGCATGCGCGGCTCAGGGAGCGCGTAATGCGGCGATTGGTGGTGCTCTGTGTCCCTCGGACACAGGGGATCACCGATCACGGAAAGAGCCTAAGATGTCGGCTTGGTCATGTGATCAGCTGTGTACAATCACAGCTGATCACATGTAAACAGGGAAATGCTGGTTATCTGCATTTCTCTCCTCTCGAACTGTCACGCTGACAGCTCGTGAGGAGAGGAGAGCCGGTAATTGGCTTTCCGCGGAGGGGACATGTACACTGATCATCAGGGCACTGAAGTGCCACCTGTCAGAGTCCATCAGTGCCAGCTGAACAGTGCCACGTGCCAGTGCCCATCAGTGCCACATATCAGTGCATACCATTGCACATCAATGCCACAAACCAGTGCCCATCTGAGCTGCCCTTCAGTGTCACCCATCAGTGCTGCCAATCAGTGCCACCTATCAGTGCTTGTCAGTGCCGCCTAACAGTTCCATATATCAGTGCTGCCTTTCAGTGCCCATCAGTGATGCCTGTCAATGCCCATCAGTGCACCTACCAGTGCCTCCTCATAAGTGCCCATCAGTGCCACCTATCAGTGTCCATCTGTGCATCTTATCAGTGCCCATCACTACAGCCTCAGCGTACATCAGTGAAGGAGAAAAATCACTTTACAAAATTTTATAACAAAAACTAAGAAAAAACTTTTTTTTCCTCAAAATTTTCAGTGGTTTTTGGTTTAAGAAAAAATAAAAAAAAACCCAGAGGTGATTAAATACCACCAAAATAAAGCTCTGTCGCAAAAAAATGATAAAAATTTCATATGTGTACAGTGTTGCATGACCGCGCAATTGTCATTCAAAGTGTGACAGCGCTGAGAGATGGAAATTGGCCTGGGCAGGAAGGGGGTATAAGTGCCCTGTAGGCTAGTGGTTAAACTAATATTTTGTTGAAGCACCTTTTGATTTTATTACAGCACTGTTTTTGGGTATGAGTCTATCAGCATCTTGACTTGGCAATATTTGCCCACTCCTTGCAAAATCACTCCAAATCTGGCAGATTGCAAGGGCATCTACTGTGCACAGCCCTCTTCAGATCACTCCACAGATTTTCCAATGGATTCAAGTCTGGGCTCTGGCTAGGCCATTCCAAATCTTTAATCTTCTTCTGGTGAAGTCATTCCTTTGTTGATTTGGATGTATGCTTTTGGTCGATGTATGCTTTTGGTCGTTGTCATGCTGAAAGATGAAGTTCCTCTTCATGTTCACCTTTCTACCAGAAGTCTGAAGGTTTTGTGCCAATATTGACTGGTATTTGGAACTGTTCATAATTCCCTCCACCTTGACTAAGGCCCCAGTTACAGCTGAAGAAAAACAGTCCCAAAGCATGATGCTGCCACCGCCATGCTTTTAACATTGAGATCACTTTGATGCTTTGGAAGCTCTCTGCGGACCATGGCTTTTGCTGTAGGATGGGACTAAGAAAATGTCAGGAAAGACCTACTAGAACCACTGAACTTTATTTTGGGTTAATCAGAGACACTTTAAAAGATGGCAGGTGTAATGACTCCTATTTAACATGATTTTGAATGTGATTGCTTAATTCTGAACACAGCTACATCCCCAGTTATAAGAGGGTGTGCACACTTATGCAACCACATTATTTTAGTTTATGTTTAATCTCCCCTCCAAAAAAAGGTGGAAAACATATGTGGGGTGTGACGCTAAGCTAAGATGGCCGCTTGAAGCAGGAGATTCGCACACCCGCTAGGAAAACTAAACATCCATGGATCCACCCACTGCTCTACCTCATACCCTGAGCCTTCTGAGGATTTCCAGAGCCCCACACTATGCCTCGCTTCCGCAGAGAACCACCGCAACTGAAGAAACTGACGGGTTTCTTCCCCTAAGTGAATAGGAAACTATAACAAAATGGTGACGGCCCCCATACTAGTGCGATGCCAGACCTTTGCTGTGATACCACAGCAAGTAACAGATGAGAACACAGAGGCTGGCTGTTCAGGAACCCTGGACAATGGATCTCCCTTATTCCAAAGCCCTGCAAAGTCCAGACCACAAAGGGACTCTGAGGATGAAATGCAGGAGGAAGGAGGATTCCATGAATCTACCTGATATAAATCCAGATCCTTTGCTGCATTCCCTACCAGTGGGCAACCAGTGTCTGACACCATGTTAAAGGATATGCTGCTGTCCCTAAGAGCTTCACTACAGACATCACATCAAGCCTACTAAAAGGATAATAAGACATAGTTAATCATTGAGTGATTTCACCATGCATTATAACACTAGTAGAAGCACACACAGCTCAATCTGAAGAGATAACATGGATAAAAGCAAAACTTGGGGACCTTGAGGATAGTTCCAGAAGAAACAACCTAAAAATTTGCGGTATTCCAGAATCAGTCCAGCCCTCCCAACTTCCACATATTGTAAATAATCTATTTACTGCAGGGATTCCATCCTTATCCTCTGCTGACTATATATTGCATATACAGGGTACTTAAACCTTCCTACCTAAAGAGGTCCCCAGGGATGTCATTTTGAGAGTGCACTTCTTCCAAGTGAAGGAAAAACTATTAGCATCATTCTGTAACCCAGGGCAACTACTGGAACAAGCAGCTTCTACCGAATCTGTCCAAACTTACACTCTAACAGCGCAAAAATCTCAACACGATTACAAAAGCTCTGAGAAACTATATTATTCCATATAAATAACAGAGCCCAAAATATAAGACCATAGCAAGCGCAAAAAGATACTAGAACACATACAATAAAAGAGTAAAATATAATAATAAAGCATCAAATGTATAAATATATATATCTATATCAAGTGTCCAGCTACAAATTGCACCAACCAAGGATATCCAGGACCTGGAAAGTAACAATAAATAAATAAAATAGGTGCAGCGCTAAAGAATTCTTATACATATGGTGCCAAATTGCACCCAATATAATAAATAATAGTCAATAAGTGCTGAAAATAGTGACTCCGTGCTACAATCTGTAAGAATTGCGCACTCACCAGATACACTAGGAATTAGTGCATTAAATATAAATTCTCTGCAGGGTCCCCTTTAAAGTGGGTCAGTCAGGAGTATGGATCCTCTGTCCGGACACCTGTCTCCAGTACAGCTCCTCTTCCACCGGGGGTCTCTCCAAGCAGATGGCTCAAAGCCAGGCCATATATAGAAAATAACTAATAGTGTAGTATTTTGTACCAAAAATTTATTAAGATATTACAGATGTTTTGAGGATATTAAATCCTCTATTTCATAGTAAAGCGTGTGCAAAACTGATAAAAAATGAAAAAACTATTTATAGACCGTGGCCGTCCGCGCATACCCGATGCGCGGACACCATTTTCCAGAAGTGCAGAGGAGACCACTCAGCAACTGGGCATGCGCGGGTCTCTCTCTGCTGAAACACTATAAATAACAACACTACTCATTAATCAGTGTAGGGAAAAACATCTCAATCTCATTATTACCCAGGGGACAATGGCACATAGATCATATAGTCACTCTTATGTAATTCATTAGTACAATTCTCAGATCATGATTTCTCATTGTGGATATGTTTCTCATATACACTGCTGAAAGAAGCAAATCTGGAAATAAATAGCCACATTATGGAAAAGGGAAAAATACCATATATTAAAAAATTATATAAAAATAATAAATTATTATATGTATAAAAAGATTTAATCATATATATAAAAAAAAAATTTTTTATTTAAACATATAAAAAAAAAGTATTCTATGTGCTATATATTGTATTATAAAAAGACACTTTATTAAATAACCAAATATATTAAAAATAATTTAGAATTATAAAAACATGTCTCGAAAAAACTTCAATTATAGTAATCAGAACAAATGGTGAAAAAAAAATGAAAAGAATATATGAAAAAATTAAGAGAAAAAAAAATTAAATTATAATATAATCACAATGAGAAACCATACATTTAAAATGGTATACAAATACACATAATGGTAAAAACAGGTATTTTAGACTATAAAATCTATATATCTAAAAACATATGTAGCAAACTAATACTAATAGACCTTGATGTCAACAGAGAAAAAAAACCTGATGTCAGAGGGAAACAACAAAACAAACCCTCTTGTATCAAAGGATATAAACGCACCACTAATGATTACATACCTAACTTCTTAACTATTGTCAATAAAGCAGTTAATGTCAAGTACTATGTTTAGCCCTCTGGGGCTTAGAGATTGGATCTCATAGATCCACCTGGTCTCTAATTGGAATACTGCTCTCCGTCTGTTGGAGCCTCTCCAATGATACTTGACTATATCTATTCCTACGAACTTTAACGACGAGGGGTCTCTCTTATGAAAATGCCTGTAGTGCTTTGATAGCGAATGTTCCTTATAGCCTCTTTTAATGTTATAGAAGTGCTCTCTGAGCCTATCCCTTAATCAATGTGTCGTTCTACCCCCATATTGCTTATGGCACGGATATTCTAGTAGGTAGACTACGTATCGAGTGTTACACAAGATAAATTGCGGGATTTTATAAGATCTACCAGTAATGTGGGAAACAAAAGTGTCATTTTTCCATTTTCTGGTGCCATTAAATTTACAGGCCACACACCTATTACAAGGATGGAAACCTTTAATGTCAGAGAATAGTGAGGTAGTAACTGGAGGGTCAATAACATTCAATGCTAATCTGTTCCTGAGTGACATAGCCCTTCTATAGGTGATTTCTGGCCTGTCCGGAAGCAGATTGGACAAAAACAGGATCAGACTTAAGTACTCCCCAATTTTTACATATAGTTCTCTTAATTTCCTTATGTTGTATGGAAAAATTTGTTACAAATTGACATATTTGACTATTCCTATCTTTTGGGGCTTTCAACTGGGATAACATCAAATCCCTGTTCATTACAGCAACCTGTTGAGCTATGTACTCAAGATTTTTCCTATCATAATCTTTTTCTCCAAATATTTCCATCAGTATTTCTGTTTGGGAAAAAATATGTATCCAGATTTTCACAATTCCGTCTGATACGCATGAATTGACTCTTGGGAATGTTTGATAACCATAAAGGGTGATGGCAGCTGTTCACGGGAATATAGCTATTTCTGTCTGTCAGTTTAAAAAAAAAACGTTTTTGTGGTTATTCTGGTTCCTTGGTTCATCAATGTCAAATCAAGGAAATTAATCTCTTTTATACTATAGGTGTAGGTAAGTGAAATGTTCAGAGAGTTGTTATTGAGGGTGCCAAAAAAATTACATAAGGCCTCTTCCTCACCATCCCAGATAAGGAGGATATCGTCAATATATCTCTTATAGAACAATAGCTCCAGCCACTCTCTGGCGAAGATAATATCCTACTCCCAGGGGGTAATAATGAGATTGAGATGTTTTTCCCTACACTGATTAATGAGAAGTGTTGTTATTTATAGTGTATCAGCGGAGAGACCCGCGCATGCCCAGTTGCTGAGTGGTCTCCTCTGCACTTCTGGAAAATGCCGTCCGCGCATTACGCATACATAGACGGCCGTGGTCTATAAATAGACTGAACATTGACGTTCACGGTTAGGCACACCCCTTTTGAGAACGTGCTATCGCACGAAATGCGTAAAGGAGGGGCCCTAAAGCGGTGACGTCACGCCGCCGGAGCTGCACGTGAGGTTC